TAGACGTGAAACAAACTTGTGGACCAGACGGTATATCAGCTTTAGTTCTGAAGGCTTGTGCACCCGAGTTGTCTCCTGTTCTGACACGTTGGTTTCGCCTCTCATTTGAGAATGGAGTAGTCCCTAAGTCCTGGAAGTTGGCGAATTTACAGCCCATTCCTAAAAAGGGTAATCGTGCCGATCCTGACAATTACAGACCAATTTCAATTACTTCCATATTCTGCAAGACTATGGAGCGTATATTGAACGCCCGTCTCATGGCGTACCTAGAACACAACGACCTTCTCAGCGGCCGCCAGTACGGATTTATCCGAAATCGGTCAACTGGGGACCTTCTAGTGTACGCCACTCACCTTTGGGGCAAGGCCCTCGAGAACAATGGTGAAGCACTTGCGGTTTCCCTAGATATCTCGAAGGCTTTGACAGAGTCTGGCACGCCAGCCTCCTCAGCAAAACATCCAGCGTATGGCATATCTCCTGGCCTAATCGGTTGGGGGAAGGACTTTCTGAGTGAGTGGTCTCTCCGAGTAGTTCTCTCGAAGGCTGTTCATCCGAGTCACTGACGCCAAATGCTGGAGTTCGTCAGGGGTCCGTCCTTTCCGCAACTCTTTTCCTGCTGCATATCAATCAATGATCTCACGACAGCACAGTTGTGGAGAGATAACAACCGAGTCTTCAGGTCAGTAGAGATTACATCCAGTCCGAAAGAGAGGCCATGGTAGAGCAATTTTTGAATCAAAATTATTTCTTATTTGCAGGCGGTCAATGAATGGGGCGATACCAATCTTGTGAGATTCAACGGTTTATAATAAACAATATTCCAAAACGCAGGCGTGTACGGTGGACATGATCAATGTATTTTTTTTGCATGCAAAAGGAGCCCCTTCAATTTGGCACCTACTTTCCAAAATGTGTCCTTGCAGTATACCGACCGCTTTCAGTTGTTGGGAATCGAAATATTCTCAAACCGCATCTTTGGGCGGTTCATTGAGTCTAAAGCCAAGGCGCAACGGTACTTCACACCGGGGCAGCTTCTTACGCTATACAAAGCTCAAGTCCGATCGTGTGTGGAATACTGTTTCCATATAGGCTGGGGCTGCAAAATGCCATCTGGCTGCCTTGGAGTCAATGGAGAGACGTGCGGAAAGGATTTTTGGTGACCGTAACTTGGTTAAAACCAACCTTACTAGCCTTGAGCACAGGCGCAGAGTAGCCAGCCTCTCTGTCTTCTACAGGATGCATTTTGGAGAGTGTGCGTTGGAGTTGCATGATTTAATTCCTCCTGCCCCTTTCCATCATCGGACAATTAGGCGTTCGGCGAGACTACGCCCTTATGCTGACGACGTTCCCAGAACAAGAATCAAGGCTATTTGCTTCGTCATTTATCATCTGTACAGCCAAGGAATGGAACAACTTACCGGCGTCCGTCTTTCCGCCCGATTACAACGTAGACGTCTTCAAGGCAAGAGTGAATAGGTTTTTACTGAGCTAGCGCGCTTACCATCAAAGGCTGCATCGCCACTTACCATCAGGTGGGATGGCAGTCAAGTGCTGGCCAGTTCAAAATAAAAAAAAATAGGTTTATACAAATATGTCGAAAGATAAAGATATATAATGAGAACAATCTGAGTTTGTCTGGTGAGTGAGGTAGCTGGGGCTTCACATTATTAAAAATCGGCAACGCATCTGCAACCTACGGGTGAACTGCCAGGTTGCACCTTAGCACATTAAAAAAAAAAACATATCTCTCAATTGTTTATTTCTTTGTTATGTTTATTTTCTCCGTGATGCTCATTACTGCTGAGCACGTGAGAAATTAGCACTCGATATTGTCTTTAACAATTTCTTCGAATCGCGATAACTGAGAATTGAACTGATTGCTCAAGCGTACTGAATTATTTAAGCGATTGCTAAGACGCTGAACTACGAGCTAAAGTGGACCTATAATAGGCGGTGGCATTGGCACGCGCAGAATAGTAATTAGCTGGCCTTCAATCTTAGTATATACTTTATCATCTTATTATTATTTTAATGTATTCCGCGCGTTGGGGATCATGGTCTGTACCGAATCTCAATGGCCCGTAGGTGACATTGCTCCCCATAAATAACACATGCATAAGCACATGGTTCTGGCTAGTCCACGTTCGATGAAGCTTAAATAGTCTACGGACTGAAAGCGAAAACATCAGTAAAATTTATTAGGGTGGTGCTGACAATACGAATAATGTACTTTCTCGTGATAGTTTCAGTGCTTATGAAGATAATTGAATTTTAAAACCTAAAGAAATACACTTGTCATACAACACGCATATACAGCGTCGTTATAACCGCGACAATGAAATAACACACGTCTAACCCTACTTGCCAATATTCATATAAAAATATAAAACATTAAAAAATCCATAATTAAAAAGAAATATATTTCAAACAAACTAATAAAATAAAAAAGAAGCAAAATTTGTAACTTCCTATACTAATTACAACTCATACATTCAGCGACTCATTCGTTGCCGTAGCATCGCATTACAAATCTCTCCTTCTAACAGTATGTTTTATCTCTTTTAAATTCATTCAACCCATTCATATAATTGTGACCGTTACAAATGAACTTTACGTTACAGTTTTATACGTAAGGGTTTTCTAAAATTGTTTGTTTTGGAAAATTTAATAACTCGGTAAATATTTATGTTTAAAGAATGTAAATGTTTAATACAATTTTAATAAGTTATCCTTTATACGTGTATTGATTAATGGTCGCATTAGTAGCGACACGCTGTATATAGCCATCTTTTATCATTAGTTGTGAAACTACAACCGCTATCAAACGCGTCCATGAATAAGTGGTGTTAATTGTTTTTATCTGTAAGGTGTATGAATACTTCAACCCATGTCCTCAATGAACAATAACACAATAATGACTATTAATTTCAATTAGGAGAAACTTATTAAGTTGAAATAATCCTTGCAGGGATTTTAACTAAAAATCCTAAAAGGGCCAAAGGAATTTGTGTTAAAACAATGATAATCGTTAAAGTGGCTCCAGAACCAATTCATTACATACAAACATCAAATGGGTGACCGTTATCTGTATACAGCGGATGTTGACAAATATGAAATTGCTGGACTTTAACTGACTGACTGATGGCCATACTTAAATATTGACAAGAATATATATTCTTTTAGGTCTCTTTTAATTTTTTTTTTATGCGAAAAGTTGCCAAACGAGCAGACGGGTCACCTGATGTTAAGTGAATACCGCCGCCCATGGACATCTGCTACACCCGAGGATTACAGATGCGTTGACAACCATTTGAAAATTGGGCTCCGGCTACCTCACTCACCAGACGAAACGCGAAAGTATTTGTCATACTTCCACTTTACGCTGGTCTTCTGTGAGGTCGTGGTACTTACCCGCACGGGCCTGCCCATTCGTGCAACAGCCGAGGCTGCTGCGTGGCCCTACCACCGTGCCTACCTCTTTTAAATCCCACCTAGATGGCGCTGCAATACATCTTCTATACAAATAGGTATCAAAGTACGGAAAATATTATCGCCCTCTCGCTTTTTTTATTCACTTTCATAGGTTTAACCGGTAAACATTTACGCGGCTCTACTAGTTTCTTTAAAGCATTTACTCGGTACCAAACAAGTTTTGTTTTGGGGTGAATGACCTTTTTGCGTCGCAGAGCATTATTACCTTCAACTTCTATATTTTTAGGGTTCAGTAAGTCAATCGTTAAACCAGGCCTGTATATTTTTATCACAGAAACGGGTGGAGGTGTCTGGTTCAAATTTTTAAACGAATAAAAAGGTTCATTTCTTCTTAAACAATTTTCGGTCTTACATTCGACTTTTCTTTACATTGACTTCGAAACTTAATTGGTCACGTTACATACACTGTGTTTCTTACACTGTGTATGTGTACACATATACATGTAAATGTATAATTATGTGCCTGTATATGTGTAAAGTGTAAGAATAATCGACATCTATTTAAATGGTGTAAGTAACAGAAATTAAGGAAGTTTTTTTAATTTTAAGTTAATTATTTCAGAAATACTCAGACCTTGAACCTGAAAAATGTACAATTTATACTCATACATGTTTAACTATACAACACGATAATCCATAACTAAAGTTTGATTTCTACAACTTTTAAATTTTTTTTATTAGATTTGCTCTCGATAACATGACATGATGGGGGGAAATGGCCGACACCGAAACTTTGTTCGGGCACTCAATTTTGTGACTCGTAAAATCCGCTTTCAATACCTTTACGATATTTCCATTGACGTAGAATCTTGAAATTCCTATTACCAACTAAAAGATAAGTAGAATATAAAATCATAAAATTGATGTTTTGCATAATACAATACTTATACGGAACCCACAGAGCGCGAGAACTCATAACACTTATTTTATTTGTTACTAGTCCACTAACATTTGATATCGAACATGCGATACTCTAGCCGTTTATACATTCACGCATTTTATAGTTTCAACCCGATTAATAAATCACTAAACGCTAGTTTTGATATCTTCCTTTTATGAATGGGTTTCGGAGGGTGCATTACTTTCTCAAATTTAATACGACGATCAGGTTCGAAATTCAGGTTCAGGATCCTTGTCCTTTGAAAACCATTATAAGTCAAACCGTGAGTCATTTTATAACAAAGAGCCGTGATAGCTCATTGTCTGGGCGCCCGCTTTTAATTCAATGTACTCGAGCAACCTGAGTTCGATCACCGGTGGAAGGAAAACATCGTGAGGAAATCTGGATATTTTCGAAATAATAATAAAAAAATTTTTTTTTTTCGAAGATATGTGAAGCCCGCCAATCCGCAGTGGGGCCGCGTGGTGGACGATGCCCTGATGCCCTATGTATAGAGGAGGCCTTTGCCCAGCAGATGGACATTTATAGGCTGTTACTTTTACTTTTATATATATTTATAACATAAATGGTGCAAACGTGCGCATTGAACTGTTGACTCCTCTTCTAGCATCGAAATGGGGACCAGGCAATTGCTGTTGATGGCGGCGCTTGCGGTGTCGACCGCATACGGGTACAAAATACTATGCGTGACTCCAGTACCCTCCCGCAGCCACACGCACCTGGCGAAGGGCATCGTCGACGCACTCCTGGACGCTGGTCATCAGGTAAGCACCAGTATCCCATCATTCGATCACGTTCACTAACTTTTTTAAGTCAAGTCAAAATATTGTTCAGAGAAAAAGAAAACAAAAAGTGCAGACATTATTTATTAGAATATTCATCCCCATTGATTTAGGTAGAGTTCCTAATTGGTGAGAAATTTTCTTAATTTAAACTCAAAGAGAAGCTCCCTTTCAATACGAGGGTGTTGGAAGGTGTATTTTCACCAACTGTAGAAAAATTAATTTGAGATAAAAACAATAATAAAAATTGCGTGTAGAACACATTTTGTCACATTTCAGATGTACACAAGCGTATAATAATAAACAACGTAGTAACTATATATAATAGACTATTATACTAGAAACTGTGTTGACCCTATGTGAGTAGAGACACGAAGATTTAATTGTGTTCTTCCTCCAAGGTAACTTGGATCACGCCGTTCCCCGTGAAGTCTACGGACAAGAACTTGAAACAGATCGACACGAGTGAGACTCGGGCCATTGCCGAAGGTAAGTACTGTATAAACGTTTGTAACACGTTGTGTAAAATTTACGTTTCCAGTCAGATAATAGCTATTATCGATCGAGCCAAGGTCCGGCCCTCTCGAGCACCCTCGAATCGGGATTCTAAACGCGTGTTGAGTGACAGCCCAAGCCGAAGGCCCGTCTCGGGGATCTAGGGATCCTGCCATGGAGGCACCCCTGGTCCTAGCCACTCCATGGAGCGTCCGCCAAAGCGCCCTAAGAACTTGGCGGCCTCCCAAACCGGTAATGATAATAATAGCGTGACGTGCTTAGTCACCACAACGCGTAATAATAATACGCCGAGGTTCAGGCTAGGCGCCCCGAGCGCCAGGTCACTTCAAGTCCGGCGAAATTGTAAAGGCCCCTAAGGCCAACAGTGGCTCATGCTAGCCTAAAAAAAAAACGAAAGACCAGCGATGTTATTTTTCAGTTGTAGTGTTCCGTTTTCAAAATTATACGTGAGCTAAGCTGCCCGCTCCGGTGGTCGTGGGTTCGATTCCCGCGCGGGATAAGACTTGTAATTGTGTGTCCCACAAATAATATAGTTCCGGATCTGGGTGTTTGTTAGATAATGTATATTTCTAGATATAGCATTATCTTGCTTCTCATTTAATGATTTCAATAGAAGCTTTATGTACAAAGGCGAATGTCATTAAATATCAGGTAGAGTCAAAATTTTTGTATAAAATTTTACAAACATACCAGAGAAGAAATGAAAGAATCTATACTTGTTATAATATTTTTAAATGATGTGTACAAATTTGTTAAATCAGCAGAATCCAGGGGACTTGTAAGTGCAGAGCAAGAGTCATTCCCACAAATGGTTGTCCTCAATATATACTTTGATATATACGTTTCGTCTGGTGTGCGAGGTAGCCTTGGCCCACTTTATTAAAAAGGTCACATCTGTCACGATTGTGCGAACGTCAATGTTCGAAGGTTATAATATAACGGTAGGCAACCGCCATCGTTTGCCACCTCCCCACATTTAAAAAAAATTGCTTGAATTTGTTTACACTTAAAGATTCCACTCTGCTACGTGTTCGACCCATTTAGCGCTGAACGTGATGAACAACCCCCAAATGGGCATGTCGTTGGTGCGTCAATTCGGCGCAAACATCTCGCTGACAGCGGCGGCCTCTGCGGCCGTGAGGGAGGTCGTGGTCAAGGAGCAGTTCGACGCCGTTGTCTCCGAGTGGTTCTTCTCCGACATGGAGGCCGGGTGAGCTGGCCACTTGACCCCGATTTCGAACCTAATTGCCTAATCCCTAATCTATCCTAATCTTGACAAAAACGTTGCAAATACGAGCAATGTTAAGTGATGGCTGATAATGTATGTCTCACTGCGTCTGTGCTGAGTAGAGCTCGTCCTGGTCCTCTATAAAGAGGGTTTTAGGGGGGGGGGGGGGGGGGGTAAGGTTGGAGTCAAACACGTGATCTACTTATTTAGTAGTAAAGAAACGAATGGCGAATCATTCGATGATAGCTTGTTTTTTTTTTCGTTTGAAATTATTTTATTCATGGTCGATATTAGACCGTATTGTATAATATTGTAGATGCACCAATGGGCAGATCCGTCTGGGGAAGTACCACGAGCTCAGAAAAGAGTGAAGTGGAAGTGTTATGTTTTTGCGTTTCGTTCGGTGGTGAATAAGGTTTATTAAAAGCTAGTCCATGGGCGGCGGCTATCACTTAACATCAGGTAAACCGCCAGCGTATGTCACGTTGTCACATAAAAAAGCTGATTGAGATAGTCTTGTGATTAGTAAAATATTTATTTGGTAACAAGGTACGCTGCGGTGCAGCAAGTTCCCTGGATTCTACTGAATGGGGTCGTGATGCATCCGTACATGGAGTACCTGGTGGACACTGTGCGCTCGCTGCCCGTGGTACCCTTCATGATGCTCGACTTCCCTGTGCCGATGAGCCTGTGGCAGCGGTTGCAGAACACCTTCGGCTTCGGCATGATGATCCTCGGCACTTGGTACGTGCTCCTTGCTTGTTCTTCGACGTTCTACTTACCAAGCGGCGTTTGTTGTAGAGTGGATTTCTCCAGGGTAAAGTAGAGATGTTTCCAAATTTGGATTTCGTCATATGCGTGAGGTAAGAGTATAGTAAATTAGCAGACAATAAATGTCCCATTGCTGGGCAAAGCCCGCCTCTGTACAGTCTATTAGGGTATAGTCCACCACGCGACCCCACTGCGGATTGTCAAAGGCGAAATATCTTTATTCAATATAGGCTTTTAAGTTAAGCACTTATTGAATGTCAAAAAAAAAAACTACCACCGGTTCACTAAACAAAACCAGAACAGAGAAGAACCGGCAAGAAACTCTGCGGTCTTGTTCTCATTTTTGTTATTTTTTTTTTGTGATGCAATTACACAAACTTATCCCTACATAGTATAAAACAAAGTCGTCCCACTGTCTCTCTGTCCCTATGTATGGTTAGATCTTTAAAACTACGCAACGGATCTTGATGCAGTTTATTTTTACTAGATAGAGTGATTCAAGAGGAAGGTTTATAAGTATAATACATTGCACCCGCGCGAAGCCGGGGCGGATCGCTAGTTTAGGTATAAAATCAGCAGCAGGGATTGGCGGATTATATAATTGTTTCGAACATATGCAGGGTCCCTCAAGATGTTTTCCTTCACCTCTTATCACGTGATAAGTCAACACGTAAAATAAAACCGTTTAAAAACTTTTAAGTTAAACGTTTTTTTTTTGTGCACTGAAAACTACAATATTGTATTGTCATCTAAATTAAATGTGTGTACCAAATTTCAGATCAATCTGACAACGGGAAGGTGCTGAAATTCCAATTTCTAATTTTGACCCAAATAAACAAACAACTTCCGTACGGGTCGAGCTAAATAAAACCTATTAATTAACAATTTCATTGTTGCCCACCGGGATTGAACTCGGGTTGCTCTAGTATGTTGAATTAAAAACGAGCGCCCGGACAATGAGCTATCACGGCTAGAGTGAGTTAAGAGATTCCGTTTTATGCCCGATTCCTATATTCAACGAACGGCCGTTAGTTACATAATTTCGTAATTTTCATAACGCCTCGTTGTAACGACTTCATCATGACAATGTAACTAAAGCCCGTTCGTAGAATATAGGAACCGAGCTTTAATCATCTTGTTAAAGGTCGGTTACTAGGATGCAGATGGATTATCTGCATTCCTAGTTGTTGTTTATGTATATGCTTGGTGATAAATATTTAATATCACCCGACCGAAATCCGATAGTACTGTTATCCAATGATATCTGACGCCCTTTTCCGTACCGTTCAGTGCACATGTTAATAAACAATAAACTATATTAATAAACTATATACAAAAAATATTATGTTAATAAATAATTTGATGACTCCGTGGCGCAGTTGCCAAGGTATTGGCTTCGGCGTCGAGGGTCGTGGATTTGATTCCCACACGGGACAACTATTTGTGTGACCCACAGATAGTTGTTTCGCATCTGGGTGTTTGTCCTCGTGCGTGTCCTTACAACACAGGATAATGTTATCCTAAAGTGAGGGCAATGTTTTTACACCAAAAAATTAAAAAAAAAAAACTGGCGAAGAGACTTGCAGCTCAGCAGCCTTCGCGGTTAAAAAATTGGACAGTTGGCTGATGTGGATACGGCTCGTATATTTTAGTTGTTTCCACAGTATAATGTCTTATGGCATTCTACTTTGGGGAAATGCAGCCGATATAAACACAAAAGAGAGCTATTCGAGCAGTTCATAACATGGGCCCTAAAGAATCACCAAGAAATTCGTTTAAAGAAATCAAAATATTGACTGTAGCTTCTCAGTACATACTTGCAAATGTTATGTCCACAAAAATAAGAATGACTTTTCAAGATTTAGTGATGTGCATGATGTAAATACGAGTACTAGAAACAAGCATAAATTAGTTCTACCCTTAACTAGATTGCGTAGCGTTTTGCTTTTACAACAAAATCCAGAAAACGTTCAAAATGAATCTGTTGCTAAATTCAAAAAAACTTGTAAAGGAATGTTTGTGTGTGAATGGCTATTAGAGTATTAGTGATTATTTGAATGATAACACACTCTGGAAATGAATTGATCGTTCCAGGTTCTTTCAAGTGGAATCTAATAAATTGTACACATGTTTGTTATTTTTTAGTTTGTTCTTAGTTTCTTTCGCCGGTTCTTCTCTCAGTGGCTTCCTTTCCGAACCGATAGACTTTTGTCACGCCTCCAATGTGTGATGATAAAACGCGAAATTACCCGAAAAATCGTTTAAACCAATCAGCGCATATAGTGTACGAAGTCAGGTTGTGTTAACGTCTTTTTACTGCGGTAGGGCCACGCAACAGTCTTCTCTGTTGCACGAATGGGCAGGCTCGTCCGGTGAAGCACCACGACCTCAGAGAAGACCGGCGTGAAGGGGCCATATTATAATTTCGCGTTTCGTCTGGTGATCGGGTAATCAGAAGGTAATCGGGTCAAATTTTTCAAAACTTTCCTGTGCACCTATAACCCGTCACGTGTTTTAACTTCAGGTGAACTACCCGTTCGCTAGGCAGCTTTTCATATAAAAAAATCTGGCCAAGTGCGAGCCGGACACGCACAGGAAGGGTCCCGTGCCATTATCTGTTATATTCGAGCCCCACTTGAATATTTTTTTATTCTATTTTTTAGTATTTGTTGTTATTGCGGCAACGGAAATACATCATCTGTGAAAACTTCAACTATCTAAATATCACGATACATGAGATACAGCCTGGTGACAGACGGGCACACAGACAGCGGAGTCGTAGTAATAGGGTTCAGTTTTACCCTTTGGGTAGGGAACCCTAAAAAAGACTTATTTTCGTTGTTATCACCTTGATTGACCTTGTTTGTTTGACGTTAAAAAAACCCAGTGATAAATTTGTTAAGGCAGTTAATTTTAGGTGATTACCGCCCCCCCATGGACTTTTGAAACACCTGAGGGCTTGTAGAACAATAACACTTCCACTTCAAGCCGGTCTTCTGTGTGGCCGTGGTACTTAACCGGACAGAACTGACCGTTCGTGCAACAGCGGAAACTGTTGCGTGACCCTATAACCATAATTTTGTAAAAGCCACCATAACGGGACTATTATAATGTCGGAAAGTACATCGAAGACTCGTGGAAATGACTTTTGCTCTGCACTTATTAGTCAAGTGCATACTGCTCAATTTACCTACCGTACCTACTTGTGTAACCAGACCTCGCTTTCCAGGCTCGATTACTCCAAGACCGCAGCCGCGTACGAGGAGCGTTTCGCCCCCCTAGCCGCCGCGAGGGGCGTCACTTTGCCCCCCTTCCCGGACGCCCTCCACAACATCTCCATTATGTTCGTCAACTCGCACCCCTCCTTCGCCCCCGCGTTCAGCCTGCCCCCCAACGTGGTCGAGATAGCGGGCTACCACATCGCAGAGGACACGCCGCCACTGCCGAAGGTGACCTTCAGAATTATTGAAAAGTAAAGTAAAGGTAACATATACATGCCCCACTGCTGGGCAAAGGCCTCCTCTGTACAGAAGGTATCGGGGCATAGTCCACTGCGGATTGGCGGAGTTCACATATTTTTCGAAAGAGGTTTCTTTTTTGTTAATATTTCGTAAACTAGATTTTCATTAATTTCATCTAATTAAACTATAGCTATAAATTGCTATATTATCGCACAAATATTCAATGTGGTTGTTCAAGTTGATATAACTTTTTTTTTATTTATGAACTAAGTTCAATAAAACTAATACTAAATGTTAAGCCGTTTCTAAGATTAACATGCACAAACGTACAGACAAAAAATTTTACGATCATTGTTTTTGGTTCTACTGCGTTGTTAAGGCCCCCAATAATAGTTTTTCTCAAATATCTTTCATGTACAGAAATCGATCACATACATTTTTATTATATGTAATAGATATGCAGGTTTCCTCACGATGTTTACGTTCACCGGCTGAGCACGTGATAACCACGTGGTAAATATTGAAAACACTATACGAACACGTGCACTCGACCGCCAATTAGTGGAATCGCGTGGTCGAATATATATAAATATTTTACCTAGTCTAGTACCAAACTGTGCAACGCTTGTACTATGGGCTATATAACTGATAAACATACTTTTCTTTTGTAAAAAATACATATAATTATACATAAATAAACATTCAGACACTGGAAAAACACTACGTTCGTCACGTAGTATTTTTTCAGTTGTGGGGATCGAACCCACGCCCTCTGACGCGATAGACAGGTTTACTGCCCACTACTATCTGTACAGAGGGGGGCTTTGAGCAGAAGTAGGACATGTAGGCTGTGTTACTTTAATATTTACTCGTAGAAGAAAAAAGTATTATGAACTTATAAAGATAAAAGATGATGTAGACAAAATTTGCTCTTGCATTAATTACCTTGAATTAAAATTGTCTCGCATTTAAATTATTTTCTGTCTGTTGCATTCAGTGGCGCCAAACATAGATAAATAAGATTTGCTTAAACTATACTTCATTTATGAATCTTTTAGACTCAACTTCGCAAATAAATTAATAATGCTAACATCTTGTAACATTCATTAAAGTGAAGAAGATAAATATGCGGTGATTGTGAAATAATGGTGAACGAACCGTTACCTGACTTATCTGCCATCTTACAAGTACATTTTACGATAAGCATTAATAGAATACCGCGTAAATGCAATGACCAGATAATAAAAGAAAACAAACGAATAAATAAAAGAAAACAAGTAAATGACGCATTAAATATCTGTGCACGCACATTGACCAAGAACTTTCCGCAAAAGGTAGAAGTAAAAAAAAAAGAAAAAAGAGGAATCGTATTTTTCCACTGCAAATCCCTTTAGGCGTAGACCGAATTAATTTTATGGTCCTTTCGAACCATATATGATTATTGTGTTAAATTTTTCGTTTAGTGTTTTATAAACTATGGTTGCGTCATAATATTTTGTGTATTCACAAAAAGATGCCATATTGTTATATTAATTTGTTGATAAGAAAAAAATTATCGAATCGACGATCCGATTGACGGAGCGAAAAGTTTACCTACCTGTCTTTTGTTGGTTGTGGGTGTGATCCGCACTGCTGGAAAAATATAGTGTGATAATAATATCGTTTTTATAGTGGCTGGGTGTTTTTATAAATACATATTTAATATGTATTTATTTCCAAAAGTACCTTAATTGTTTATCACTTGTAGAACGCACTGCTGGAAAAATATAGTGTGATAATAATATCGTTTTTATAGTTGCTAGGTGAGTTGATAATACAGCTTATTTGCTTAGTTTGGTACAAAAAATTTGCATGTAAAAATATGTCCTGTCGAGAAAATATTCGAATTTTGTATAAGTTCTTTTGTATTATTTTGTTATTCGTAAATCGTAAAATAAAGTAAAGTAACAGTTTATGGAAGTCCCACTGCTGGATAAGATATCCTCCTTAAAGAGAGTAATAGGGCACATTTATGTTTTAAAATGGACGAAATATTTTTTGACATAATTATATAGGTATTATGTTTCGTTATTATTTCGAAAATATGCAGGTCACGACGTAACCCTCACGATGATGCATATACGATTATTTTTGAACATTAGCTGCCAAGGTCTGCAGACGTTTGAAGGTTATCAGATATTTCCAAAGGATATTGAGCATACGATGATGCGAGTAGTTCTAGATACGAACAAAATCTTTTTTATGGGAAATAAATACGATGCACTTTAAGTCCAAAACACCGCCGAAAATTTTTAAATTTCATCTTAAGTGCAGGGAATAGCATTAAAAAATATTAATTTTATTTTTTAATGCTATTCCCTTATAAGTTTCAATAGTAAAAGCGATGATGTTTTAATAAAGATGACGCATATCCATAATGCGCGGCGTTTAAAAATTGTTCCCCTTTACATATAGTATGACATTTATAAGTGAATGTGACAAATTATATAGACGAGAAATCAGTAATTATTTATACATTTTAAGGTTTCATATTACATTTGATGAGACAGTAGATCCTGTTGCTAAGATAGACTTCGGTGACGTTGGTCGTGCTTACGATTCCCACCGGAGGCATTTGTATAAAACCTAAACACACGGTTGTTCCACATACATATTTTTAGTTACCGTGATGGCTTTCCAAGTGTTCATGCCAAAGGGTTAGTGCAATGTGCCCGTTTCGGTTTCCCTATCAGGATCTCCAGGAGATCCTGGACTCTTCTCCGAGGGGCGTGGTCTACTTCAGTCTCGGCTCCGTCCTCAAGTCCGCCGCCCTCCCTGAGCAGACCAAGAAGGATCTGATCAAGGTGTTGGGCGAGCTGCCGTGCACCGTCCTCTGGAAGTTCGAGGAGAAGATGGACGGCCTCCCGAAGAACGTCCACATCAGGCCTTGGATGCCGCAGACCAGCATTCTGGGTGAGTCAAAAAAATGGTCAGCCGGTACTTAGTACAATTCCAGCGGCTGTTTCTCTTGATTATCCCTAGAGACTTTCATCGCAGATTGATTCCTGTATATAAGAGTTCTAACGTTTTTACCTTGATCCTAATATTTTAACTATGAACTGGAATATTAACAATTATTATAACGACAAGCAGCACTAGTGGATATATCACCGTCCGGGAACGCAGTCGAAATCCAAGTGACCGCTGCTCCAATCTGCTCCATGCGACCGTGTGTCCCTTGGCTCGAGTAGATAACGTCATATTCGGTATACAGTGTTGCCAGCGCCAACATGTAAGGTCTTGAATTGCGATAATTAACAAGATTCATCTCCGGGAGCCGTAATTTCAATACTTGTAATGCAATAATGTCTTTTAAAATATTGTAGGTAAAATTTGAATTTGTTTAGCATAAAAAAATAACTATAAATTTTGTCCCCTGTGCCAGTACTCTTTGTTTGTGAAAAGGACATTAAATGCAATTGATAACGGTTTAATTAGGTAACTTGGAGTTATTGGTGAATGTCAAAAAGTTGTTATTGGTTACCATGGTAATACTGCGAATTCGGGCACTTTCCAACCAACAATCACGCAGTACGCGCGCATATTAAAATTTTTACTCACAATTTTTTTTCCGAAACACCCCAAAAGAATTATAACTTCAAATAAAACGTTCCGCTGATTTTCTTTCACCGGTTCCTCTCAGGTCAGTCGCCTTTCTTCCGTACCGGTATTAGTATTTCCACAGGCAATAAGCATGTTGAATAAAGATGTGGACCACATCGCCATCGTCCACATCACTATCTTCCGGGTAAGGACCACGACCTCAAAGAAGTCCGGCGTAAAGTAGAAGTGTTAAACTCCTGCGTTTCTTCTGATGAGTGAGGTAGCCGGGACCCAATTTATTAAGAGGTGGCAACGTATTTGCAACCCTTCGGGTGTTGCATATGTCCATGGGCGGCTATCACTTAACATCTGGTGAACCGCCAGCTCGGTTGCCACTTTCTCACATTAAAAAAAAAACTATCGCACCTGATGGTTTTTGTTTTTTTTTTACTGGCAGTCAAGTGCTGGTCAGCTTTGAATTAAAAAAATGAATGAATTAATTAATGAATGAATACTTTATTGTCCACCACTACTTGTTTACTACGTTAAATGCATTCAAATGTCTCTTATAATTCGCCAGCGCACCCCAACGTGAGGGTGTTCATAACGCACGGGGGCCTGCTGAGTACCTTAGAGTCGCTCCGCTACGGGGTGCCGATAGTGGCGGTGCCCGTGTTCGGCGACCAGCCGGGGAACGCGGACCGCTCCGTGCGGGCGGGCCACGCGCTCAAGGTCAAGTTCTCGCCCAACATGGCGCCGGAGCTGAAGGCCGCCGCGGCGCAAATGCTGGACGACGACAGGTGAGGTGGCGGGGCCGAACGAATTTCAACCTCACTTTATTGAAGCGAAACTTGTTATGCGAATGCCAACGGGGTTGCGTTAAGCGTTTAACGCTACCATGGACGGGGGTATGAAAGAACTGTTGCGTTAAACGTTCAACGCTCCTGGGGAGGGGGAATGAGAAGAGACAGAGCGAGAATGAATGCGGGGCACGCGCTCAAGGTCAAGTTATGCTGGACGACTACAGGTGAAGCATACTAACATCGGCCCCACCGACTCTCGGGACGCACGATACCTGCATTTCTCCTATCATTCATTCAATAAGACATTCATTCATTCATTCATGCATGCATTCATCCATTCTTTCATTGATTCGTTCACTGTCGCACGAACTGCATGAAGTGGAAGTGTTACACGTTACGCGTTTCGTCTGGTGGATCACGCAATCGGGGCCCACTTTGTTATAAGGTGGCGACGTATCTGCAATTCTACGGCTGTTGCAGATCTATGGGCGGCATTTATCACTTAACATCAGGTGAAACGCCAGCGCTTGCCGCCGTCATATAAAAAGGGCGCAGTTGCTTTTGGCTTCGGCGCCGGGGGTCGTGGGTTCGATTCCCATACGGGGCATAAATCAGTTCCGTATCTGCGCGTTGGTTCACTAGGAAGGTCGGCGTTAGGCAAGCCTAGCTTGGTGAGATAGGGGCGGAAGGACGATGATGGACGAAATCATTTTACTGGATTTTTTTAAATATAAAATTTTTAATTAACCATCCACAGATATTACAAGAAAGCCAAGGAGATATCGAAGTTATTCAACAACCGACCGGTAAAACAGAGCAAGCTCATCTCTTACTACGTGGAGTTGGCCATTGAGAGCAAAGGTGAGTGCTGGTGACTGTCACCGTCATTGTTTCGTACATGCAGGTCACAACTTGTGGTGCCGCGTTTATTTATTTATTTTGGACAACCAACAAAATTACATGTACAGAGTTAAATGAGAAAACGAAATGCATGCTCATTCAATCGCCATACCTGCATAAACCATGTATACCTATAAATATCATAGGCCATTCGTATGATTGCTTGCATAGAAACAAACAATGCATTGGTTGTAAATCGATTGAGCTTGTTGATAATTACAAACATCTAGGATTAACCATAGATACTAAGTTTAGTTGGAATTTCCATATAGAACGAGTATGTAATAAATTAAGATCGTTATTATGTAAGTTTGTACACCTTAAAAGTGTAGTTGATAAAAGAACTTTACACATTCTGTACTATGCTCTCGTGGATTCTGTAATTAATTATGGCCTTTCAGCCTATGGACGTACGTTCCGAACGTACATGGATAGGATACATAATCTTCAACTAAGATTTATTAAACTGTTAGTTAATAAGCAAGCTAAAGAGAAAAGTAAGAGTAACTACAATCTATTGTTTAAGAAATGCAGTATTCTAACAGTACGTGAAAAAACAAAGTATTTATTAGCAATTGAAGGATACAAAAGTAAATTTTTAGTTAGGAAATCAATTTATGGTAATTTAAGAAAGAATACTCGTAAATTGTTTGAGGAACCAAATGCACAAAACTACTTTGGCGAAAGGACGCGTAGGTATTTAGTGCCAAGAATATTTAATGAAAACGTGCCACAAGGGGCCTGTCGGACAAAACAAATTTTTAAAAACAAATTGAAATATTGGCTACTGAATGCCATCGACGACCTGTAGTATTACTAGTAGTAATATTTAGTTTATTATTAATTATTAATCTTAATTATTTTTTATTAATCTTTATTCATTATTATTTTAATTTAAGATTTTCCTTTTTTGACTTTTATAGCTTTGTTATTAATTTAGTGATAAGGGTACTTTACCTACTTAGTCTTTAGTTTTTAATTACTTTATATGTTTACTAATATTTTTGTTTTAAAATTTATTTTAGAGAAGTATTACAATGCAATTGTAAACCGTAATGAGTGCAGTTTCGCCAATAAGCTGTATTCTCAGTTTGGCGAACTTAATGTTTTTTTGAACCAATTGTATTTACTATGTTAATAAATAAATTAAAAAAAAATAAACGCAAATCTTATGGCAACAATTTACACGTAAACTCAATCATAGGTACTCAGCATTCCACAAGAGTATTTGTCGTACTCGTGGTATAATATATTTGGCTAGTCTAAGACAAAAGTAACACAAATGTAATGATAAAGTTTTTGAAGTTGCATTTCTTATGGCGGATTTGGGAAAAAATTAGATCTATTCTTACTTATCGCGACACCCGATTTCGTGAAATTTACTGCTTACTTTTTAACATTTATCTATAATTCCAAGTTATTCGATTAAAACGTTATTAATCGCATGTCTTTTTAAGAAACAAAGAGTATTGGCACAGGGGATACAATTTTTAGTTATTTTTCTTTTGTTACGCTAAAGAAGTGTAAGTAATTACGTGCGTACTTAAGTACAGACACGTTTTCGTTTCTTCCATAAGTCAGCACTTAAAATCAACAATTTTATTGGTGCCGGCACCGCGGATGGAACTCAGGTTGCTCGATTACAACTGACTTATTAATTTCTTTTACAGGAGCGTACCACTTGCGTTCCAAGTCCCAGCTGTACAAATGGTACCAACTCTGGATGCTGGACCAGTTGTTCGTCGTTTTCGGCGTTTTACTAATTTTTTACGCGATCCTGAAGAAAATTGTGGGAATTTTCACGAAGAAGACCACTAAAGACAGCAAAGCGAGGAAAGAGAAGAAGATGAAATGATATTTTAGTTTTTATCGTAGGTTAATTTTGAATAGCGAATATGGCAACACCTAACAAATGTGAAAGGTGTGTGTATGTTCAGTTTGTGCGTATGTCCAGTTTTTATAATATAGTTGTTTAATATGAAAATCTAAATGCGATACTATTTCTTATTAATTCCAATTTATCATAAGTTCGCATTTCATTTCAAAATAATCGATCTTAGACCCTGTGTGCTTATCACGTGACTTGTGAACTTGATATTTATTGCTTAATCGAAGATATTACCAAATGTAAATAGTGTGTCTAAAAAAGAAACTAAAAATTTTGAACAATTATTTTTGAGTTTTATCTGCATCTTTTGCACCCATTATTTTAGGACCTAGCGTTTTGTATTTGATGTTTTTTGGGCTGGATGAGCCGCTGTTGGCCTTAGGGGCCTTCACAGTTCCGACGGGCTTGAGGTGGCCTGGCGCACGGGGCGCCTAGCCTGCACCTCGGCGTATTATTATTACGCGTTATGGTGACTAAGCTCGAGGGCTCCCGACGGAACCTCGGTTCGGGCCGTCACGCTATTAATTTCACCGGTTTGGGAAGCCGCCAAGCTCTTAGGGCGCTTTGGCGGACGCTCCATGGAGTGATCAGGCTCAAGGGTCCCCGAGAGGGGACCTCGGCTTGGGCTGTCACTCAACACGCGTTTGGCATGCCGATTCGAGGGTGCCCGAGAGGCCGGACCTCGGCTCGATCGGTAGCTATTATCTGACTGGTTGATTTTTTGAATTCCTAACATAAGTGTATCGTTTCAAAACTTGTGAATGACAAAAATATTTATTGTTGATTATTAAATTCCGTTCTATGATAAATAATTCAAATCCGTTGTATGAAGTATTTAAATTTATGGCAGTATATCCACTCGTATATAATATCCCAATGTATATACAACAAAATGATTGTATTTAGGATTTCGCGATATAGGGAACGTTATCGATTGCATCCGCTGTATGTACCATTATTGAATTTTGATAAGCTTGGATGCTGCTTTTACGAATGTACAAATGAACAAGTTTGTACCAACGAAGTGTCATTTTCAATCATTAAAACATAAGTCGGGACGTATTTGTGCAAATAAAATTAATTTCACTGATAAGTTTATTGATTTATTTAAACACCATATTTTTGGTACCTAGGCGATATTTTAGTAGGATCCTGTTCCCTGGCGGCAAGGCAAACGCCATCTAGTATCGGTTACTTGTACTGAATCCACGACTGCGCAAGCATTGTACTAGAGCAGTGATATGATTATAAGATGATCTTGTGATGTTACAAATTGACGCTTGATTTAAAGGACCCGCACCCGTCAGTGGAGGTCATAGACTAGTTCCCGGGCCGATGGAACCTAGACACGTGCAATATAGGTTTTAATGGGTCGGGTACCCATTACCCGGGTCTTTCGCCTAATATTTATTTTATTATTCGGCACAAACAGCAAACAGTAATATATACATCACAATAAAGTTAAATAAGGTAAACAATTGCATACTGTCAGCCAAAAATATTGAGCCGTGATAGGTCAGTGTCCGGGCGCTCGCCTTTAATTCAATATACTCGAGCAACCTGAGTTTCCCCGGTGCCGGCAACAATGGAGTTTTTAACTTTAAGTGATGATTTATCACGTGCTCCGCGGTGAAGGACAACATCGTGAGGAAGCCCAGCAGTGGGACATGTATGTATAGGCTGGCACTTTACTTTTCTTTAGCTAAAAATATGCTAACACAACATGCTACGATATCATGGCAACAATATTTTATCCTCAATTTAGGATATTTAAAAAAAAACAAAACAAAATTAAAAAATTGTAAAATTATAGAAATAAAAAGAGAAAAGAACTAAAACACATTATGGGCCTGTGATACTTTGTTTGAATGTATTTAGTTTTTGATAGAATATGTTATCTATGACAGGGGTGAGCAACCTTTTTAATCAATGGGCCAATTTAAATTTAAATTTTTTTTGGTGGGCCGCATAATAATTTGCGAACCTTTATTTATAATAAATATTAGAATAAAAAATATAAAATTAAAAAAAGTAAAGATTTCATATACTTACAAATTTTAATGCAAGATAAAAACTAACAAACAATATATATATAAACATATAAATAACAAACAGGTAAATAACAAACAAGAAAAGAACAGAAAAACGAACAAAAAATATTTCGGTTCAGTATATACTACCATTTTATTATGATTAATTTTATAACAATATATTGATGGGATAAATTCGATAAAATAAATTCAATTTTAGAAATGCTTGGGGGGCCGTATAAACATGCAAGCGGCCCGCGGGCCGCGCGTTGCTCATCCTTGATCTATGAAATGATTGCATCTAGCAAGTTTATTGTAGATCGAACACATCTTGTAAATTGGGTTATTTTGAGCGAACTTAATTGTGCTTGAGTATTAGATATTGGAAAAGGCCACGCAACAGCTGCATTCACGAATGGGCAGGTCCGTCCAGGTAAGTACCATGACTTCGCAGAAGACTGGGCTGAAATGGAAGTGTTGCACTTCTGCGTTTCGTCTGGTAAGTGAGGTAGCCGGAGCCCACTTCATTAAAAGGTGGCAACGCATCTGCAACTCTACGGGATTTTCAAATGTCACTTAACATCTGATGAACCGCCAGATCGCTTGCCACCTCACACATTAAAAAAAAAACATAAAATTTTCCGAATATTTTTTTCTACTCAACCAAATGAATGTCTGTCCACAGATGCTACATCAAAGCGAAGCCAACTGTGGTAGGCCACGTAGCAGTCCTCGCCGTTGCACGAATGGGCAGGCTCGTCCGGGCAAGTACCCATAGGCGTATATAGCAGGGGGGCCGGGTGGGCCATGCCCACCCCAATATTATCTAGTGCCCACCCCAGGATTTTAGGTTATTTATTCGCAATTCTAGGCTGGATTCTAGACATACGGTACCTAAGAATCTTCATAAAATTCGTTGAAACAAAGAGTACTTTTATATATCTGAAATCATATAATTGAAATCAAATAATTATTTACAACCGAGAAATCTATGTACATCTGTGTACAAAGTTTTCACATTCCGTTTATTTACTTGTGAAGACACAGCGTACTAAATACTAATTAGTTATTACTACTATAATGAATTAATAAAAATTATTATCGATAACAAATTGTTACTTTTTTAATGTGACGCATAGTAAAGGCCCAGGCCCACCCTGAAAAATAATTCTAGATAGGTACGCCAATACAAGTACCACGACCTAACTCTGTGAGGTGAGGCTCACAGTGTGAGGTCGTTAAGTGGAAGTGTTGCACTTCTGCGTTTCGTCTGGTACCTAAAAAAATTAACGGGATTTCGAATATAGAACTCCTTTAACACTTAACAAAATAAAATAAATGATTTTGTTATCATTTCGGACCGTTAGAGTCCACTGCTGAACATAGACCTACTTCACAGACTGCCACGAAGCATGATCCTGGGTCACCTGCATCCATCGACTTCCTGCAAATATGCACAGGTCGACGGTTGTCTGTCACTCCCCCTATTGAAGTGACGAACCTTTCTGTCCCATCGGTTATCTATATATATAAGAGTTCTAACGTTTTTACCTTGATCCTAATATTTTAACTATAACTGAACTTGAATATTAACAACTATTATAACTAGTGGTTATATCACCGTCCGGGAACGCAGCCGAAATCCAAGTGACCGCTGCTCCATGCGACCATGTGTCCCTTGACTTAAGTAGATAACGTCATATCCGGTTTACAGTGTTGCCAGCGCCAACAAGCATAATAGTCCTTTGAGCTACGTCGGCTACCTTCACTGCTATAACTCCTGATAATACTGTACAAGCTTATGCAGTATTGCCTTGTCTTTAAGGACCCACGTTATTTTCGGACGATAGGAAGAACGCTGGCAAATTGTCCAATCTTTTGTTACATTCCATGATGGGCGTCTCCAAAACAATCTTCTTTTTTTTTCATTCCGCTCGCAGCAGTCGAGACGAACGCACGCCTTGGCACGCGCTCTCTCTACTCTGCTTCTCCCCACCCCTGTCCGCTTCCGCGTGCCGTCTCGCTCGCCGCGGACGCTCAGTCGTCGCGCACCGCACGCCGCGTTAACTCGTAATTTTTATTACGAGTGGGCACCCCGCTCGCAGGTCGAGTTGCGAGGTGCAGTTCTGACTGCGCCGACCAACACGCTTAGCAGCGGTTCTGTTTCGACGTCTTAGGGCTAGTGGATACCTAACGGTGATAACGAAGCTAGCCAAGGCTTGCCCCGATCGCCTTACGGTTCTCTCCTGAGAACCGCGAATTTTCGGAAGGGACCACCATCACTGGCCTTGGGTGTAGTCCCTAGTCAGCGGTGGTCCACGTTTGGCCTTTTAGCGCCCTCGGGTAGTTTTAATTAGCTATAAGTACACACCCGCGTGCACAATAAGATCGGCACAAGGACGCACTAGGGCCACACAATTTAGGCACTCATCCTCCCTGCCTATACCCGGCAGGGAGGGATACGGGCACACACCCCGGCATCCCACCGGGATAAACTACATTTAATAAGATAACGTCCCAGTCGAGATGGCCCACCCGGAGGGAATGCTCGACTTCCTGATGGAAAAATATCCGGAGCTATATAATAAAGTCGTCGAAGAAGTGACGAACTCATCAAGACCCTGCTCAAGGGCATCTTCCCAAGGCGCCGCTACGAGCTCCTCCTCCTCGCAAGAGGAAATGGAGCTCGATTCGCCGCTCTCCCCCGACGCCGATGAAGGCGACTTGTTCACCCAAGTAGTGAACAAGAAGAAGCGCAAAAAGCGCTCTTCGCAGCCGTCCTCAGCGGCTCCGTCCCCCGTTCCGCCAGTCAAGGCGCCAAGGCCCACTCCCCCGACACCACCGCCTTCAGCGAAACAAACCCCGGTTGCTTCTCAACCAACCCCCGCGCCTCCCGCAGCCCCACGTGCGCCGCAGGACAAGCGCCCACCCCCA